TGTGTGTGTGTGTGTGTGTGTGTGTGTGTGTGTGTGTGTGTGTGTGTGTATACATATATATCCACACAAATTTAGGTCCATTTTTACATGAACAATTCTGGAGTGAGGGTACTGGTCTTTCACTGATCAGGATGCACTATGTTCATAAACTGATTTGTTGAATAGCAACTCTTGTACAACTACTTAAAGATGATATACAAAATTCTTAAATGTTGTTAAAAGTATTGTTCCTTAATGTTAGTATGTAACTGATTTATGAATTTTTAAGTATTCTGATTATCTCCTTTGCTTCTTCTAATTCACTCCATATCCTGGACCCTGCTGCACAAAAACTCCTAGTCTCCACTAAAGTACAGGTATACTAAATGGCAACTTGTTAGCTCTGTATTGATACCTGCTCTAATATGTAACTTGTTACAGTCTCAGTTCCTTCTGGGCATGGTGCAGAGAACACATGTGTCCTGCATTCTTGTTCCATGTGACTCAGACCTCTGTTAATATAAGCTCTAAAAATGATCTCACTGCCAGTGTTTAGGAAACACTCCCTATGTGCCTCCACTCACCTGTGCTTTCCGTACATGACATCATGGAGTGCTCCCAGGAGTCCACAGGGCAGTGACCAGCTGACACACAGGGAGACCCTGGCACCACATGGCCACAAAAGCAAGCAGAGCCTAGATCTGAAGTCATTGCTCATGGATAGTGCACACCACCCTTAAATGAGGCTAGAGTGTGTTCAGTCATTTCTACCACTTTTTAAAAATGTTATTGTATTTTAGAAATGTAACCTATATATCTGGGTGTATCACTTATTCCCCCTGTTTTTCCATCACTCTGAAACCTGGGTTCATTTTCCTCCTTGTGGCACTTTGGACCAGCTAATGTTCGTTTTTGGTATTTTCTTTATCAGGTATTTTTTAGCTCAAAATACCTTTCTACCATAAAGGATATAGTTTACTCTTTCCCAAACATTATATTAACTTAATATGCCTTCCAAGTGACTTTTAAAATATTATATCTTCCTACAATACAGTTAACTTTGAATAGCATTTGTATTTGTGGTTTCTGGAACTGTTCAGAATAACAGGATTCTCATAAAAGACTAATTACCCCAAATCTGATGCCTGTGTAAAGCTATCCAGCGAGCAGCTGTCTTTGAATGAAGAGAGGCTAAGAGCTCTTTTTTGTTTTGTTCATTTAAAATCATTTGCTTCTTATTTAATATCTGCAAAGAACGTAGTCACATCACAGTAGAATGTGCTGTTGTCAATTCTGGATTGTTTCCATGGGTCCGCCTTACATCTGCACGGTGTTTAAAGCCAATGCTTCCTTTCTTTTTGCAGGCTTTCAGGGCCTTTGCTCATAATCCAATGTCATGCTGAATGACAGAAAATTGAAGTTGAATTTATTTAACCAAACAGAACAATACTCTTATTTAAGAACTCCTTGCCTCAGAAACTGAAGGAGCTGTTTTGTGCAGGTGGCTTAATCTCTCTGCTGCTTATCCTGTGTTCCTTTCTTTATTAAGGACAGGAACTGGGCACTCTGCTACTGAAAACAAAAAGACGCCTCTAGTCTACCAGAACCTATAATAAACCTGTGCAGGGTTCTACCTCTTTCAGAGCTGCAAGGAGATGGCCTATGCTGATGCTGGGTTGGTGGGGGAGGGTCGAAACAGTAACTCTTAGTATTTCATAACAGAAAACACAACTAAAAAAGAAACAACCATGAAAATATATTATTCAAATCTTAATTCTATACTAGGAGTTTTTTATTTATGGATTGCTGATCATGAATCATTTTCAGTTCTCTCGTATCTTCTCTGCTTTTGCAGTCCATATGATAGTCTTTGGAAGCTCTTGGTTCTTAAAAAAAATTACTTTCCTGTTTTTTAGTCATGGTTGCTGTAGGGTACATGGCAAATGCTCTTGGGGATGTGGCTTCTCACTCTTTAGCTGTTGTGAATTACAGGCTGAGCTCTGTTTACTCTGAAATAGAGAAAGAAAGGAAGATTTAGGTAGACAGTGGAGAGAGACACTGGGAGTCAGGGAATGTAACATCATTAATTTTGCTTTGCATCTAGTAAATTCTGTAATTAAGATGTATAAGTATATTCAAATGTGAGCCTCAGAATACTTTCGTGTTTCTTTTTGTTTGTTTTGAAACAGGGTCTTGCTCTGTATTCTAGACTGGCTTCAAATTTAGGGTCCTCCTGTCTTTGCCTGTCTTTGGGGGAATTAAAAAGAGTGTATCACCATACCAAGTTCAAAATTCAAAGTGCTGTTTTTTAATATAAAAATAGCTTTGAATTAGTTGCTATTTTTCTGACTACTACTTTACTAATTCTCAAATAATTGAGAATTAATTGCATAAAATTCACATATCAGACACCGATTCTTTGAGGTTTATTTTTAAGATAATTTGTTTTTTTTTCTTTTTGCTATAGCTCCATAGAAGTAATAACATGAAATTTATCACATGGGCTCAGCTCCAAGCCTCATCTAGTTGTACTCTGACAAAAGTACCCAGGGACACTTAATAGGAAGGCATAATTGTTCTCTCTGATGTCAGCCTCATAAAATTACTCACAGCACCACCACATTTGCCTTCATTTATTTATTTATATTGCATTTTTATTAATTTATTTATATTGCATTTATATTGCATTATATATTTATTTATATTGCGTTATTTATATTGCATTTTTATTAAGAGTGCTTTAGTCTTTTATTTTTTTTGTGAAAATACCGTACAGAGGGGTTTACAAGGGCAAGGTAATGAATACATTTCTTATCAAGCACTGTTGCCTCCTCCTTTGTTTCCCCTTCCCATCCCTTTCCATCTCCTGCCCCCCCTTCAGTTCTCCCCCAAAGTTGTAAAGTTCATTTTTTGACATAATGTCTTATACATCTCATTGTTGCAATGGATCCACCTGTATCCCAATTTAAACAATTTGTTTTTTCCCTTCCCCTCCACAAATTATACCAACATCAACTACAGTGAAAGCAGGGGTTATACTGTGGGGGAGGGACATACAAAGCAAGAGTGCTTTAGTCTTAATGAGGGCAGGGGTTCTGTTGTGACATTTCTGCACATATGTATTATATGTATAATATATTCTAATTAACTTCCCTGCCCCATCACTCTCTCTCAAACACTCTCTGCTTCTTCAACAATTTCATGGGTTTCATGGTTCTGTTTTTATATATGCAAACAAACTACTTCAGCCATATTCATCCTCATTTGCCATCTCTCCCCCACTAACCAGAGCCTCTCCTGTGGACTTTCAACTTTCCAAAATATAAAATCTCATCCACCCTTTGGAGTTAGAAATTCTACCAGTTTCCAACAGATTTTATTCAAAATAACAGCCCTCATTTGTCTTCAGTATAACTCTTTAAAGATTCTGGCAGTATGGTAACTGACCTATGGCTCCGCCAACTATACTTTTATGGGCAAATATCATGTTCCGTTCATACTTGTTCCAGCTTTTCTAGTTCAGAGTCAGCATGAAAGAGAAAGACTTTGGAATCAAGTAGAACTGAGTTGAACTAGCTGAATGAACTTTGATAAATTAATTATTGTGATCCTTAGAATCTGCATCTGTAAAAAATAAATATATTTCAAAGCATATTGTACATCATGAAGCATAATTTTTTTGTTGGTTGTGGGGCTTACACAGTGTTTGGGCATTGTCCCTGTGCTCTTTTGCTCAAGGCACTATAGTGCTAGACCACTTTGAGCCACAGCACCACTTCCAGGTTTTAAGTGGTTAATTGGAGATGTCTCAAAAGGACTTACCCAGCTGGGCGCTGGTGGCTCACACCTGTAATCCTAGCTACTCAGGAGGCTGAGATCTGAGGATCGCAGTTCAAAGCCAGCCCGGACAGGAAAGTCCATGAGACTCTTATCTCCAATAAACCACTCAAAAACTGGAAGTGGTGCTGTGGCTCAAGCAGTAGAGCGCTTGCCTTCAGCTGAAGAGCTGAGGGACAACACCCAAGCAGAGTTCAAGCCAGAGTTCAAGCCCCACAACTGACAAATAAAAAGGACTTACCTGCACAGGCTGTCTTGGAACCATGATCTTCAGATCTCAGCCTCCTGAATAGCTAGGATTACAGGCTTGAGCCATGGTTTCCCAGCTTGAAGCATAATTTTTATTGATTAATTAAAAATAATATGTGAGTGCATAAGCATAAAGATTTATACAAATGTCCTGTAAATTCAGAAGTTGTTTCAAATGAATTTATTTTCTGATTTAAAAAACTTGTTCTTTGTAAAACAAAGAAGGCAAGTTCAGGATTTATACACACAAATAATAATAAAAGCTTATATAGAGAGTTAAAACATTTGAGGGATGAAACAGAATTTTTGTAATTCTTGTGTTTTGAAGTAATTTTTCTGGAAATACCAATTCATTTTGTAAGTTTCTTTGCCATCAAAAGAGGACAGCAGGGCTGTCCACGGATGGGGCTGGAGGGTTGGGGGGCTGGGATTCAGACCTCAGTTCTGAATACCGGCTAATGGCAGAACTGAGGTATGTCAAACCATTTATTCTCCACATAGTAGACAAACTTTCTTGAATTATTTTCTTCAAATTCTGCCTACTGTTCCTGGTTCAGGATTTTGGAATCCACATTTGGACATCATTATTTTGGCTTTAAATACCATGAAAATGACTTTTATGTGCTACCAAAAGTTAGTGGATTCTTGCCCATAAGCCTAGCAGGTAATTTATTTATCTATTTCCTTCCTGCCTGGGAGTCTCATGTGTGCTCCTTGCTTCTGGACCACAGAGGTGAGCTCAGGAAACCAAGTATTTCAAAAGTGAGCTATGTATATGATCAAAAATACATCTGTAAAAGTGCTGGAGGTATAGCTCAGTAGTTGAATGCTGGCCCAGCAAGCACAGAGCCCTGAATCCAAGCCCCACTACTGCAAAAAAAAAAAAATTGAGAAAGAGAGAAATTTCTCTCTTAGCTACATGAGTTTCTTTTGAAAACACGAGTAAAATTTAGCATTAGCTGTTTGCAATTAGCATGCTAATAGGGACAGGAAGAGGCCAACCAATCAGGTCTCATTAATCTGTGGGGTCATAGGGTGGACAGGGCTGAGTGGTGGATGGGTAAGTTCCATATGCATATACAGGTGAAATGAAACAAACAGCTGCATTCTTGAGGATCTGAGTGACATGTAGAATATGGTGTACTTCATGAAAGTATCTGGACCGTGGAACTATAGTGATGAAATGGTTATGTGTGTCATTCCAGATTTACAGTGTCAAGTGGAGGCGCTTGGGCTGAAACTTCAGAGGGTAACGATGGAGCTGGACAGGCACAAGGAAATGCTCATGTAAGATGATGACGTATGAACAACATTGTCCTGATGATGTCAGAAAGTTTACTCAGGAAGATCCCAGGGCATGTTTGGGTTCTCTTGGCAGTGAACCCATTGTGTAGACCACAATGTATGATTACTTTTCTGGCTACTCTACTGGCTTATATTGTATGTTGAAGAACCCATAAATATACCTAAATATTCTCTCGTTAAGAAACTTACCAATTGAATCACAACCTTTTGGATAAAATCAGATACAGAAACTGAACTTGCTCTTTTTTACATTTTTATTGTAAAGGTGATAAACAAGAACTGCATACAGGGCATAATAAGAACCTCTCTCAATATACAAGATTATCACTGTGGTTCAAATACAGTAGACTTAATATGAAATATTCTCTGAATTTATTTTCTTATCTTTATTGTCTGTCCACAAGAAACAATATTGAAGTTGTTTCTTTTTTTTGGGGGGGGGCCCGGTCATGTGGCCTGAACTCTGGGCCTGGGCGCTGTCCCTCAGCTCTTCAACTCAAGGCTAGCGCTCTACCACTTGAGCCACAGCGCCACTTCCGGCTTTTTTCTTTTTGCTTATGTGGTGCTGAGGAATCGAATCCAGGGCCTTATGCCTGCAAGGCAAGCGCTCTACCACTGAGCCACCTTCCCAGCCCCTGAAGTTGTTTCTTGAAACTACCAATTTTAGGTTCAAAATGGACTTAGTTCCTTTGAAATGACAGCTTTATACATCATATAAGTGAGAAAATACTTGAAAGTAAATGGAAGAAAATGACCTTGTAAAATACTCAGAGCATGATTTCTTTTAAAAATTAACTTTTTTCAGAAATGATACCAGAAACATAACATACCTATAATTATAATATAAAGTAGAATATACATTTGAAAAAGCAAATTCTTTTACTTTGCATAGTCTGGTAGCTTTGGTTTTCAGTTCCTGGATTTTGGAAGGATGAGCCTCAGAAGAAATATAAATATTTAGGGTGCTTAGCAACTAAATGGTTGTTTTGCTCATGGCTATTCCTAAGAACAATCTATTTACTCAAAGACCCAACAACATAAGACAAATTCCAAAAATACTACATCAAATTAATATATACTTAGGTTAGTTGTAGCAAAATGTTTTTAAATTACATTTTTATTATCTTTAAGTAGTTTCACACAAGAAGTTTCTGGAAGACAAGAAACATGGGTACAGTCTTTTTTCATTGGTATTTCCTTGTCTTATCACATACCATCAGGAAAGGTTTTGCCCATAGATTTCTCATGGGGAAAGTTAGCTCATCCGGCCACATCTCCTGTGTGACACCTGCTCCTGGAGGGCCAAGAACCGATGGAGAAGTGAATAAACAGGTGGTGCCCGCCCTGGACTGTGCTGGGGGGGGGGGTGGTCATGGTTGCAGCAAATACAGAAGATAAGGGTGGGGTGCTTGCAGAGTTCGGGGAGACAATAAACATAGCAGTAGGCTTACTGGAAAAAGGAATGAAGCTTGCTGGTTTTTACGTGAACTGACTTTTTCCAGAATTCTTTGTGAGACATCCCGCTTAATATTAGCACCTGCTTTTGTGGGCATTTGTAACATATTCTATGACAAGTGTTATGAGAAATGATGAGTTGAAGTAGAATGGAGCTGACTCACTGATGCTAATGACCTGCCAGAATTTACCATCTAACCGTAGAAATGCTGGCGGCATTTTTACAGTTATAAAATGAGTACTTTCGACCCACAGATTGACCTTTCTGAAAATTAAAAACTGAAGGGCGGAGCAACTGAGGGTAGCCCATGCTAGAGACCTTTTCTTCACACAGCTATCCAGTATCTAAACAGTTGAGCATACGTGTTGTATGGATTTTAACATAAGGGGAAAAGGCAGCCCATAAATGGATGAGACTTTCTGTTTCCCTCTGAGATTTTTAAAGAAAATGCTTCCTATGGCTTATGAAAACATGGTTACGCATTTGCAAGCAGAGATCTTTATCAGTTAGGGTGTTCTGGGCTGAAAGTATGGGTTCAGTGGATCTTGATCCGCAGTACCATCTTGGTGTTCCTTCTGTCTGCAGCCTGCTGGCTTCAGCACTGGCTTCAGCCCAAAGCTAGCTCCCTCGCAGTTCCAAGTACCAAATATAAATGGGGAGAGCCACACAGATGGGACACACACACACACACACACACTCACACACACACACACACACACACACACTGCCCAGGGCCACCAAGCAGCCCTCTCTCACATCTCTTAGTGAGGACTCTTCATACACCCTTTCCTAAAGGAATCTCTGGGAAGGGAACCAGAACTGCAGTGAAGGTAGGCCCAGCAGGACCAATCCTGAGAGCAGGTGATAGTTGGACTCTGAGAGCCAGGAGGCATGCTGGTGAGCCAGGGGTGGTTGCTCAGTGGCAGAGCATCAGTGCTGCTCCAAAAAGTTCCTGATGAAGCTTTCTACACATGTGATGCTCCAATTCAGGAAATAATGAGAGCTATAAAGGCTGTGGATGTAATTTTGTTGATTTTAAGTATATGTATATACACACATAGATAGAATATGAAATGTGCTTATTAGCCTCACGTAGATATGAAATATATACATGTATATCAGGATAAGATATATGCATAGTTTGTGTGTGTATGCGTGCACACAAGCGCACACGTGAGATACGGAGTGGGAACATTCTCTGTTATTGGGATATGAGTATAAATGTTTTGGTTTTCTTCTTGTGTCTTTTCACTTACAGGATTTTTTTTGTCCAGCACGCACAGGTGGCCTAGTGTCATTCCAGTGTTAACTGTAGCTCTGCTTGTCACATGACCCTAACTTGAATAGGCCAGGTTTATCTGAGCAATTCAAACAAGTGTAGCCTATTGTTGGCCAGCATTGTTGTATACACACAGTGGATATTGGAGTGGCAAGCTCCCACAGAGCTACTTGGGTGATTTAGCTAATACTAAGAGCTGCAAAGTCTAGAGCAGGGACAGTAGCAGGTGAATGGTCAGCAAGAATATTTTTGATAGACTGAGCAAATGACCTTCCTGAGCAGATGACCTTTAAGATGGGAGTGACAGCCCTGGGCTGGCCATGCCAACATGCCAACATCTGAGAGCAGGGGCGCAAGGACAGGCTCCGCATTCTTGGAAAGGAGTTTTACAGGTTCAGCAGGGCATGGGCCCAGCTACCATAGACAGAATAATGGTGCCCCAAAGATGTTAATGTCCCCTGGTCCCCGAGATCTGTGGCTATGCTCCTTACAGGCATATGGCACTCGAAGATGGGATTAAATTAAGGACTTCAGATGGGGAATTTTCCCCGGGCTGTGCAGGTGTCCCAAACCATCAGGTCCTGTCAGAAGGGAGTCAAGTGGATGAAATCGTGGGAGGAAATGTGGGGATGGAAGCAGAGAAAACTGTGGTGTCCTTGGCAGAGAGGAGGCGGCTGCAGTTAAGACAGGCCATCTCTAGAAGCTCCCGACCTCCTCACAAAGCAATCCCAGCCACACTTTGGTTTCAGGACTCCAGCCTAGAGAACTGTAAACTGGTTAGTGGGTTGCTGAACACGAAGCTTGGGATTCAAGTTTCCTCCACCACTGTGTTTAGGGGAGGGCAGCAGGAAGTTGGGAAGAGTTTTTAAGACAAGAAAGTGGTCACAGCTTCAGGCGGCTGCTGCTTAGAGAACAGAGTGGAAATCAAGGAAAGTGTGAAGAAACCATGTTTCACACAAGTGAGAAGCAGCCCAAGGCTGTGGTGAGGGGAGAGAAGGAAGGGCGGAAGTGTGTTAGCCAGGATTGCCTGTGGGGAAGGACACTGGAAGGGAAAAGGAAGAGCCATGGGGCCTGAGATTTTCAGCCTCTAGGTGGACAGTTAAGAGGCCTAGTCTCCAAATTTCGGCTCCCAGAACCACTACTGAGTAGTTCTGTCGCCTTAGGCCAGTTCCTTTGTGCTCAGTTCTTCCAATTGTAAATTAAGAGTACTGTCTGCATTGGGGAGATCTTTAAGGTAACATTGCTGTTGTTATTGTGTTGAAGTGGGAAAAGTTGCAAAAGAGATTCAGTAAAATTGTTTAGGTAAAAAAAGAACAAAAGTTCAAATCACAGTATGTGTAAAAGAACCATGACTATATTCTAATTAGAGAAAATCTTACCACTTACACTATTAACAAAAAAAAAGTAATGCTTTTGCCCACATTGGCATTAAGGTACATTTTAGGTGGCAAAGTGGAACTATCCAGGAGATGGTTCAAGAATGGCTATTTCTTATGAAGGAATAAAAATGTTTGCACTAGTGACTTTGAAATTAGGGGGAAATAGCCTGCCATTTCATGTTGTTTCCTTGGTCCTGACTGGCAGCAGCCGCCTGAGGCCTTAAGGAAGTTGAAGAGAAAGGATTAAGTTTGTTGAGAGTAAAGGAAGAATGTAGAGCTTAAGAGACTAAGGCACACTTTCTGTTCTTTCTAGTTCCTTCCATCCTAGCCAAGGGGAAGCTAACAATTGGGTAGTAAAGAGCATACTGAAGAAAGGACTGAATTAGCCTTCTGTAAGGGAGGTTCTTGGGATGGCAGCCTGTGGACTTGATCAATAATGTAAAATAAGCATCCCAAGGAGGTCCTCCTTCTCATTGGGAAAACAAGTGTGGGTCTAAACATATAATAGAATTTGTGATGGAGCTGTTCAGTCTCAAAGCATTTTTATTTCACACACACACACACACACATACACACACACACTTTAAACTCACACCCGTCTTTCAGTTTAGCTGTTGACTGAATGATAACCCTGTATGGCATTGTCCCTGCTGGGCAGGAGGATAGAGTTCAGAGTAAATATCTGATAGAGTCCTAATGAATCATTTGCTTTGTGAACTGAATTGGCTGTTGAAATAGAGTGTGACACAATCTGTCCATATTTAGTTAATGAAAACTCACAGGAGGGACCAAAGGCAATTATTTCATTCTTTGGCAGGTCCAGTCTTTTAGGTAGATAAGGAAATAGCAAAGGGAAATTTTCTTCTAGCACCTGCTGTTGTCCAAGAGTCCTTAATTTAAAATAACTGCTAGGCCAGTGTGCCACGTTTCGGGCCATTGCTTTCTGGGTTCCCACAGTGGTGACATGTCTTTATAGCTGTGACACATGTAGAAGCACATGACAGCCCCCTCCCTTCCCTGAGATGTTCAGTGTGATCATAGGCCAGGCGTTGCCTAACTTTTCAACAAATTTAATGGAGGAGTATTGTTTTGTTCTGCTCATAAGAAGTCTAGAGAAGATATATTTTTAATTTTAAGTTGTACAAAGGCATTTCAATTGAAGTCAGATTATAAGTACAATTCATCTTTCTCTTGAGAATGAGTCACACATTTTTGTTCCAGTATATGATCATTTTTGCTATATTCTAAACATTGTGAATATTATGTTATAGAGGCTCTGAATCTGTTATTTTTCTATAAAAAATACTATTGGGTTGGGGTTAGTGTCATTTTAAGCAAATGGTTAACTTGTTTGGTCTCAAACTTCAAACTCTGTCTCGAGGACAGCAGTTCAGCCTCAGTTTAGTTCTTTTATCTTTAGGCTTCTTGGAATCTGCTCTGTGCACCTGGAGTTCAGAGCTCAGCAGAATTTGTGTTTAGACTGGGTAGGGTGGTGTGTACCTGTAATTCCAGCTTTGAAGGAGGTGTAGGTAGGAGGATTGTAATATATACATATATATATATACATATACATACATATATACATATATATGCATGCCCAGAATTACAGTATAATAAATTATTATGTATAGAACTTAGGGCCTCATGTTTATATATATTATATTATATATATAATATATATTATATATAATATTATATTATATATATAATATTATATATATTATATATATATAAAACTTGGGACCTCATGCATATACATATATACAGTATGTATGTATGTATGTATGTACATATATATATATATATATATGTATGTATGTATTTATGTATTTTCTTCTATCCAGGGGTAACCTTTCACTATCCAGCAGCTGTGGTTGCTCCAAACACTGTCCTCATTGTTCGGGCCAAAAAGCCAGGAGTTTTCTACCAGAGTTTCCATTCCTCTGCATGGTGCACCCCAAGACCTGCCTTCAGGCTTAAAATAATCTAAAAAACAGCCTGACTTTATGCTAGTACCTCACTCAAGGAACAAGTTTCCCTGAGAAACTTCCTTCTCCTGGCTACTTTCCAAAACCTTTAGATAGGGTTTTGTTTGTTTTTGTTTTTAATGTTGTCTAGAGTTTATTCTTTATTTAGATACAGAGAAGTGTGGTAGAAGCTAATATTGCCTTTATTGAAGTGGATTGGGTGTTCATTTCTTTAAAGGAATTATAGTTGAAGATGCTGTGAAAATCTTTCTATAGAGGAGTAAAACAGTGATTTAGAAAAGCTTGTGCTTGGGCTGGGAAGGTGGCTCAGTGGTAGAGCGTTTGCCTTGCATGCCTGAGGCCCTGGGTTCAATTCCTCAGCACAACATAAGCAAAAAGAAAAAAGCCGGAAGTGCGCTGTGGCTCAAGTGGTAGAGCGCTAGCCTTGAGCTGAAGAGCTGAGGGACAGCGCCCAGGCCCAGAGTTCAGGCCCCATGACCGGACCCAAAAAAAAAATTTAAAAAAAAAGAAAAGCTTGTGCTTTAAGTAATTTGGTGTAATTTTGTTATTTTAGGAATAAATCTAATGAAGCTGATGACTATCAACGAGAACTTAGACAACTGAAGTTTGAATCCATTGTTTCTGAGTCACGGTATACACTGCAGATATTTTCACTAGTATTTTAATTATTGAATTTGAAACTGTATTTTAATATTATTTTAGTTGAAATGTACTTCATTTTTTAATGTCCTTATTTATATATGCAGCCCCTACCTCAGACTTTTAATGACTTGACATTGTTCACTGCTTTTGCCTGTGCCTAGATAGAACATTTAACATCACAGAACTATCCATCTCCTCAACAGCTTTCATTTTTAAAAGTACAGTTGTAGTCTATAATGTAAATGAGCTTTCTATAGAAGTACAAAATCACAGTATAAGAACATAGTATCTAATGCATGCTGGCAGGGTTATTTTTCTATTTTTCTATTCTTTTTTTTAGGCATACTAGGCTACTTAAAGAAAAAGAAGACTCTTTAATGTCTTGTCAACAAATGTATAAAACTTTACAGGAAGAGCTGACTGCAACAGAAAAGCAAAGAGATGACCTGAAAAGAAGAACGAACCATGCAGAAAATGAACTAGAGATAACCAAAAGTCTTCTGAATCAAACTAAGGAAGATGTTTTAGCCCTGAAAAATGAAAGGTGCAGTCTTACAAAAATTTTTTATGTTTAAGCCGATATTCCATATAGTTTCAAAACATCAATGTCTGGTTTGTTATAATAACATTAAAACACAGGATTAAAGATTTATTTCACCTGCAGTCACTGTACTTCATCACCTAATTTTCAGGTGTTGAAACCAGAAACCATGTTGAATGTGTTGAAACCCCACAGTTAGTGACAGCAGAGATGGAGTTCAGATTGCATTTAGTGTGAGATTTCTGTGGAAAAAGATGGCAAACGATTGCTGAAGTCTATTAGTTTTCAACAGAAAAAAAAATACCTTTTATAGAAAGGTATAAGAAATCCTTTTTTATACCCCACTTCCTGTTTCTTGGCTCCTGCTTTTCTTTACTCCTCCTCCTTTTTCCGCATATCTCTTTGAGAATCTGCCCCAGGCAAAGATACCTCCTCCTTTAGTGATGTGGAGAAGCATATTGGCCCAGTCTTCCAAAATATTTTTATTCAGTTAATTTATCTTTAATCAGTCTGTAATAACTTTTCAACTCTGCTTTCTTTTAATTTTCATTAGCTTAGTATGTCTTGGCTCGTTCCTTTTCAGTCCTTTTTAAAATGCACATCTGATAATCACATAAATTTTGTTCCTTTTGTTGGTTTAAAAAAATTGTTAGTCTTTACTAGATTAGGCCAAGCTAGGTCCTAGTGGCTCATGCCTGCTATCCTAGTTCAAAAGCAGGTCAAGCAGACAAAAATCCATGAGATTCTTAGCACCAATTAACCAGCAAAATGCCGGACTAGAGACTCAAGTGGCAGAGTACTACCTATGAGCAAAAAACATCTGAAAGTGCAAGGCCTGAGTTCAAGTCCCAGTAGCAGAACCAAAAACAGAAAGATTATTCCACTTACATCTATTGATAAATTAGCAGTTGTTTGTTGATAGATTGTCAGTAATTCTTCTAGAATTATTATATTTTCGAAGAACAGTTTTGGTAAGGCCAGGAATGCTTATTTTGTCCTTTCTGTGTAGACAGCATATGATGCTTGTTTTTCTTCTTCCTATCATCACTTTTTCAAGTTCGAATTATTTTATTTAATGACTATAATTTGGAAGCTTCATACTTTTTTACTCTTTATAAAGAGGTTTTAGAGGAATTATTGTCTGTCTCTGGCTGCAGTCTGAGGAAGTGATTTTTATAAATATATTGAAGCTCAGCTGTATCAGTAGAAACATGCAGGGCCCTCTGCAAGGTCACTTTCAAACAGCACTCTCCCTGGAACCAAACATGTTTAGCTGTTTTTATTTTTCTTATGATTAGAGTCACTCCCTCTGCTCTGAGCACTTACGAGAAGAGTGGCTTCGGGCGGCTTCTAGAGAGTGGCCGTACCATAGAATGCCCTCTTGCTTCTCGCCTCATTTTCTTGTATCCTTGCCCCTGCTCCTCTCTCCTGTGAAGAAACAGGTGAGACATGACTTTCTCCTCATTGGTATGTAAGGTTTTGAAGTGGTGTCTGTTACACAGGAAAGATTAAGATGTACTTGTCACAGTTATACGATTGTAGCATTTCTCTTAGACATAAACATTCCCCTTTTCATGTTCCAGGCTGCTTCCAGATTTTGTCTGTCTTGGTTTCTACTCTATCCTAGAGCCTAGCACATAAATATTTGTTGAGTGCATGCATAAAGAAGGGAATGAATCTGTCATTTGCTGTGGGTAATACAGCTGTCAGCCCGGTACCCACCAATAACCCGAGAACAGGCTCTCTATATCTGTAATGTGGGTTCGTAACTGATGCCATGACAATGACCCTCAGTATAACATTTTCAAATCAGCTACACATCACAGTGGAAACCACAGGTTTATTCACTGAGCACTTATATATGCTCAATGAATCTATGTAAAACATGGTGAATCTTTCTCCCCTTTTTCTCTCCCAACCTTTCCATTTATGTCTCAGGCTCCTCACACAATGCCTCAAGTCCTCTCAGTGCTACTGGCAGACCTGTGTCGTCTTGTCTTGGCCTGTGCAAGAATCCCGCAGCCCATTCTTAAGCTGTTTGGTCAGCTTCAAGGTGTGACCTCTGTCTTCTCTCTTTCAAGCGTGTTGTAGCAACAAGTGTTCAGGGGACGCTGGCCCTGAAGGAAACCCAGTGTTGTGCCTTTGTGTCCCCTCTCCCATTCTATTTCTTGCCCCTTCTCATGCTAGGGACTCTTCTGTTCACTCGATAAACATGAGAGATGTCCTCTCTCTAATGCCTCAGCAAAATCAGAAGAACAGCTGTATCTCCAGGTTGTAAATAGAATAGAAACTTTCTAAAAGGAAACAAATGCTTCATGTTTTGTTTCTTTACTGAAGCTTGTGATGTTACCAAAGAAAGTAGAGGCAATGAGAAGTGGTTAAGGAAATCTAATATTAGATATACAAAAAAAGAATTCAGGGCTCCGTCATCCCATAGTGTGGCTTACAGAATTAGACCAGCAGAGGTGTAAACCACCCCACCTTGCACCCCTCCCCGCCCCGGGCCAATGTCAAGCCTAGGCAGCTTAACCACTGGAACACTCCTTTTCTTTATATGTGAGATGGGTAGTTCTAACAGCTGGGGAATACTGATGTGTCTCACTTACATGTTTTAGGTTGCAGACACTCAGAATTTATTATTTTCCTCCTTTTCATCATTCTCTAGGCTAGCCACTCGTCACTAATTTTTATGCCCTGTTCTGTCCATGTAGATATTCAATAACTTGAGTTCAAAGTTATCTGCTGTATGCCTTTAGCCGTGAAGGTGAATCCCTCCAGCCGTTCCCCATGGATGCTGTTCTGTTGGTTTAGAGCGTTACCAATGAAGGATTTCAAATACTGTCTGTCTAAGAATCGCCTCTGTCTCTGATTTGCTATTCCCTGTAAGCTCTGGGAGCAGCCGTCTCCCCAGCTTCCCATGGTAGCTCACACCTACAGTTTTCTGTGGAGGCAGAGGTGGTGGTAACATCAAAATCATCCCTGTGATTGACAATATGAAGACGTCTCTAAAAGAACAACGCATGAAACAGAATTTAAATCTGTTATTTTGGCATTATGGTTTGACATTTGTTTAAAGTTACATTTTTAGCTATAATTAAAGAAATCTGGATTTTTTGCATGTAAATAAATTCTCATTTTCTTTTTAGCCTAAGAGTGTTTAAAGTTAAATGTGTTTTTTAATGAAAATTTTAATTTCTTAATTGTAAGTCTATCCTAATTTGCCTATTATATTAACTCAAAAAATGTTAATAGAAAACGATCTGATGAGATTATAGAGAGGCCCCCTCTGCGCTGTATGTAAAACAGGGCAGTATGACATCATGCAGAAGGCTCAAGGCTCACATAAGCTTGGGCTGGCTCAGCCGCTCGCGTCACCTGGGAGAGTCTTGTACTGCTCTGTGATTGTTTCCTCTAAGAATGTGGGCATTGTGTTAACATATTTCTAGGGAATAACCAGAAAGAACCACAAGTATTCCTTGAGTTAAAACATTGCTTAACAAATAGAAGACACTGATACATTGGCTAGATAGATGGATGAAGGAAGTAAATTTAATTCCAGTTAAGGAACTGATTACAGAATTTGAACATGTAAAGCTCCTCCTAGTTTTTCTTTAGACTCAGAGAACTGCTGACTTGCTTTTAAAAGAAAAATCAGAGCTAGGAATAAAGCATGTAGTGGTAATCTATCTGATTCTGAATAAAATTCAGATTTAAGGCTGAAAACTGTTTTGTTTCCTATAATATCAAAGTATGAGCATCTCAGAACAGGTCCTGAAGAGACAGGCAGGTATCTAAACAGCTGTACACCTCAGCTTTGCATAACATGGACTAAGCTCTTATAATGACTCTGATTCCTCATAATTCCTCTCAATTTTTAACAAAAAGTCCCACATAGTCATTTCTCTTTTAACTTCCTTTCCATGCAGGGTTGTTTCATCTTGTCACTGTCTCAAAATGGTTTTGTAATGTGAGTGGTATTTGAGCATTTTCATGGAGTACTGCATACATGCAGCTTTCACTTTGGGAATCGGGATGATCTTTTTCACACATACAATCATCTCTATGTATCACTCACTGCCCATTTTATTCTAGTCAAGAATAAGTAGAGCAGCTGGACTCATACCTCTAATGCTAGCTACACAAGAGACTGAGATCTGAGGATCACAGTTCGGGCAGGAAAGGCCATGAGATCCTTACCTCCAATTAATCACAGAAATCCAGAAGTGGAGCTGTGGCTCAAGCGGTAGAGTACTACTAGCCTTGAGTAAAAATGCTCAGGGACAATATACAGGCCCTGAGTTCAAGCTCCACAATTGACAAAAAAAAAAAAAAGAAAGAAAGAAAGAATGAGGAGAGCTTATAATATCACTTATAATTATCCTTTCTGCTTGTCCCATTAAACACTCACAGTGAAATAGTCTGAGTCAGCAAGAGAGGCCCAGCAAGGAATCAAAGCAATGTAAAGGTCTCTCCCATTCAGTCAAAAAATTGCCATGGCAGATGTAAATTTATATATTCTGGCAACTCCTTTAAAATATCTTCTACTTTGTAATAATATCTTAACAGATGCCACAAGTCTTTGAAAACTGGGTGACTAATGATCACTTTGTTGGCTTTGTGGGAACCCCAGCCCACTCTGTTTTAGCTGCTGTAATCCACCAGACAAACAGTTTAGCTTCTGTTCCAAAGAGAAACATAAAGTGATGCTTTGTCCTGGGCCCGTCAGTGGAATGGATGTGGAATGGCTTCTGTTGGCTTAGAATCAAAATTATTCTGACATCTCAGATACTCAGGGCCATCTACTTTGTAGGAAAAGTAACTTCTAAGGTCTCCTTTCAAACTAGAAGTCTGCCTTGCAAGATAAAGTGAATCCAAAACAGGGGCAAGGGAGAGAAAAAGAGAAGAAATAGAGTGCACCAAATTGCCACAACTCTGCTGTCTGCCCATTTGTAATAAACACATGCCAGCTACATCTGTGCTATGATCCAGCCATTTTGACAATC